AAAAAATGGCCGGGTGTTGTGGCGGGCACCTGTAGTCCGAGCTACTTGGGAGGCTGAGGCAGAAGACTCGCTTGAGCCCAGGAGTTGGAGGTTGCTGTGAGCATGATGCCATGGCACTCTACCCAGGGAGATAGCTTGAGGCTCCATCTCAAAAAAAAACCCTGTGTCATTGCAACTATGTTTCCAAAAATATCAAGTCATTCAGGTCCGATATGAGAATCATCTACTAACCTAACGGATATTAATTCCATCCTTGCATAAAATGAGTAGAACAGAGCAGTGATTTTCAAATCACTGTATGCCTAATAGTATACTGGTAGTCCCATGAGAGGATCTTAGGTATGCCATGAAAAATTTTAAAGATCATTAATTAAATTATTTTTCAAAGAAGTTCAAAGCACAGTAAGTATATTCTCTTTTTTTTTACGTCAGAGACCAACATAAAGTTTAACTATAAGTTTAATTGTGCCATGAGATAAAAAATGTTGAAAAACATTGGAATAGGGTGGTGTCTGTGGCTCAATGGGTAGGGCACCAGCCGCATATACTGAAGGTGGTGGGTTTGAACCTGGCCCTGGCCAAACTGCAACAAAAAAATAGCCAGGTGTTGTGGCAGGCACCTGTAGTCCCAGCTACTCACGAAGCTGAGGCAAGAGAGTTGGCTAAGCCCAAGAATTGAAGGTTGCTGTGAGCTGTGATGCCAGGGCACTCTACCGAGGGCAATAAAGTGAGACCTTGTCTCTGAAAAAGAAAAAAAAAGAAAAACAATGGAACAGAGTGTTGCAAGGAAAACCCTAATTTTTGGTTAGAATCTGGGAAGAAAAATCTGGTACAGGTTCTCTTACCTTTTCCTATGATGTAGTTGGTTCATAGCTCACAGCAACCTCAAAATCTTGGGCTCAAGAGATCCTCTGTCTCAGTTTTTCTATTTTTAGTAGAGACTGGGTTTCGATTTTGCTCAGGCTAATCTCAAACTCATGAGCTGAAGGAATCCACCTGCCTTGGCTTCCTAGAATGCTAGGATTATAGGCGTGAGCCACCTCATCCAGCCTATTCTTAACATTTTCAAAGTTCAGGGCAGTGCCTGCGGCTCAGTGAATAGGGCACCGGCCCCATATACCGAGGGTGGTGGGTACCTGTAGTACCAGCTACTCAGGAGGCTGAGGCAAGAGAATCATCTAAGCCCAGGAGCTGGAGGTTGCTGTGAGCTGTGATGCCAGAATACTCTACCAAGGGCAACAAAGTGAGACTCTATCTCTTAAAAAAATAATAATAAATAAAAATTTCAAGTTCATAATTTCAGGCCCAGTGGTTCACACCTGTAATCCTAGCACTCTGGGAGGCTGAGGTGGGCAGATCGCTTGAGCTCAGGAGTTAAAGACTCTGAGCAAGAGTGAGACCCCTGTCTCTAAAAAATAGCTGGGCGTTGTGGCAGGTGCCTATAGTCCCAGCTACTGGGGAGGCTAAGGCAAGAGAATTGTTTGAGCCCAAGAATTTGAGGTTACTGCGAACTATGATGCCACGGCACTCTATCAAGGGCAACGAAGTGAGACTCCGTCTTAAAAAAAAAAAAAAGCAGAAACAACACAAATTTAATAGGTCAAAAATTAATTTAAGGTAGACATCCCTAAGTTTTTAATGTATAATAACATATCAAACTACCATGTCCTTTGTTGACAGAAACCCTAAATCATCTCTGATAAAAATTTAAGAAGAGAATGAGAGAGTAAAAATGAAACAACCCTCACTTACTTCTGCAAAAGTGAATTTTTGAACTTTTCAGCATTCAATTCTATTCGTAATTGTTCTGCACTCTTTCTTGAAGCAGATAGCAATACTGAATGCTTCACCAGTGCCATTGCTGAAGGTCTTCTCTCTGGATCTGGATGAATCATAATCTTCAAAAGAGAAGTAAAATTAAGGTAATGCAAGCAATTTAAAATATCCATCCCTACGAATAAAGTGCCTTATATGTAAAATGCTCACTTTTAGCAACTCTATAAATTCTTGAGAAAGCACTTGTGGTATCCGAGGTAATCTACCCTGTCTGATCTCATGCCATTGGTCACCATTTCTTGGAAGAGGTTCAGCACCAGCAGCACATACCACTGTGAGGGCAAGGGCAAAAATATCCGCTTTTGGTAGGTGAGTATAATTCTATAAAATTAAAAAAAGAAAAAGTTTAAAGGAATGTAAAAACAGTCAAAATAAAATGAGATTATACTTTAATAATTTACATGAGAAACAGGACTAAATTAAAATGTCAGGGTTAGGACCTATTCAAATAATAAGCTACTAAATTTGGAGAGATTACTTTTCCAAATTAAAAAGTAATATACATTCTCACAAGGAAAATTTAAATACATATCTAAAAGTAAATGCCTCTTCTTTTTCACTAGCCCAATTCAATTCTCCAAAGAAACTTTTTTTTTTTTTTAAGAGTCAAGAGTTTTACTTTGTCACCCTCGGTAGAGTGCTGTGGCGTCACAGCTCACACCAACCTCTAGCTCTTGGGCTTAGTTGATTCTCTTGCCTCAGCCTCCCAAGTACCTGGACTACAGGCACCTACCAAAACGCCTGGCTATTTTTTTGTTGCAGTTTGGCCGGGGCCAGGTTTGAACCCACCACCCTTGGTATATGGGGAAGGCGCCCTACTCACTGAGCCACAGGCACTGCACAAAAGAAACTCTTTTTTTGTGTGTGTGTGTGACAGGAGCCTCAAGCTATTGTCCTGGGTAGAGTGCTGTGACATCACAGCTCACAGCAACCTCCAACTCCTGGGCTCAAGCGAGTCTCCTGCCTCCACCTCCCAAGTAGCTGGGACCTCAGGCGCCCGCCACAACGCCTGGCTATTTTTTGGTTGCAGCCATCATTATTGTTTGGCAGGCCCAGGCTGGATTTGAACCCGCCACCTTAGGAGTATGTAGCTGGCACCTTAGCTACTTGAGCCACAGGCACTGAGGCTAGAGCCCGCTTTCAAACTGAAAGGATTCAGAAATTGTAATATCTTTTTTGAGACAGAGCCTCAAGCTGTCCCCCTGGGTAGAGTGCGTGGCATCACAGCTCACAGCAAACTCCAACTCCTGGGCTCAAGCGAGTCTCCTGCCTCCGCCTCCCAAGTAGCTGGGACCACAGGCACCCGCCACAACTCCCAGCTATTTTTTGGTTGCAGCCGTCATTGTTGTTTTTGGCTGGCCTGGGCTGGATTCGAACCTGCCACCTTAGGTATCTGTGCCTGGTGCCTTAGCCACTTGAGCCATAGGCGCCGAGCCAGTGCTTGCATTTTTAATGTGTGGCCCAAGATAGGTCTTCCAATGTGCACGGTAGAAGACTGGAAACCCCTGGTTCTAATTTATATTTCCATTATACTAGACATTAACCTAAAATTTTAACATATCTGATTTATATTCCTCTATCAACAGATAAACAATACAAAGCCAACAGTATTGTTTTAAAAGTGAAAAATTACCTCCTGTAAAACTTCATTTGCAAGAAAACGACTATCACCCTCTTCAACTTGTGGACTAGAAATCCTTGTTACATGCCCAAGATCCCCTAAAAATATTGAAAAAAATAAGAGTCAAGAGTTAAAAACAGTCTCCTCTATTTTAAGGAAATAATTTAGTTATTTTTCTTTCTTACCTATTTTAAATATTACTTTGTTGGATACCAAATCATCTTCATCTCCTTCTTCAGAGGCAGCATTTGGAATTGAGGTTCGAGATATAAAAATATTACCTGTCAAGTAGTAATTGTTTAAACCAAACTAAAAATCAACAGGATAACTAACCAAAGTTCACAAACAAGGTCACATATACCAGAATCACCCAGAAAGCTTTTAAAATTATAGACGCTCATGTTCTACCCCAAACCATAAGGATAAAAATTTCAGAGGATGGAGAATAGGGTTGTATGTATTTTTGGGGAATACATTTTTTAGCCAAGTACTAATCCCTAAACCCTTTCAACTACATTAAACCCTTGTCTTCTGCATATTGATCTTTGTAGTTTTATTAACTTAAAAATACAAAAGGTGGTAATGCAGTAATTTATGATGCTGGCACAAATTTTAATCTAGTGCTACAAGGCTAGTATGAAAACAATAAATCATTTAGCCAGTGAGTTTGGTAGACCACACAGTATCCACATCCCAATACAGCTTTGTAGTTCACTATTTCCTACTATAGACACATTACCTTTTTCCTCAAATTCAAGCAAACTCATGATTTACATTACATTTTAGTGGCAGATTTCATTTTAATAGTTTTATCAATACAGTGAGTACTGAATCTGTAAATTATTATTATTACAAATAATCTGTAAATCTGTTATATATTTATTGAAGTCATCTATTCAGTTTTGTTTTATTTATAGGACAATTTATTTTGTGTTGCTCTTAGAATGAGAAGATTTTTAAACTTCGCATCTTGGGCAGCGCCTGTGGCTCAAAAGGGTAGGGCACCAGTCCCATATGCAGGCAGGAGGCGGCGGGTTCAAGCCCAGCCCGGGCCCAAAACGGCAAATAAATAAATAAACTTCACATCTCTTAATATTTTTGTTGTTGTTGTTGTTGCAGTTTTTGGCAATCTCTTTTTTTTTTTTT